GGGCCACGGGTGTGGACACGTGGCGAGCGAGGTGGCGGGTCTGATACAGGCCCGTAACAATCACTATCTTTGTATGTAACCAATTGCTTATTTTCTAAATGTAAATGTAATGAAATAACAGATGTAGACATTTCATACATAGTTAATCCATAAATCCTCCAAATTGCTTCTGGGGGAGAAATCTATCTACTAGACAGAAATTTTTCTATTTCATTCATATCATCAATTTCATTCTTATCACATAAAGAGAAATTAACCTTGCCATATCCTTTATAAATATATTTGTACAAATATTTAACAGCTTTTATTGTTGAACAGATTTCTACATTCATATGACAGTCATATTTAGCCAATAAATAAGGATTATAAGGTACACCCCATCTATTATCAAGAAAAAATTTTCTCACCTTAACCTTCTTACCATCATTTCGCCTTCTATATTTTGGATAAGAAGATTGATCAAAGGAATATGTGAAGTGTAGCTATGTGGATAACGATTTCTACATTTTCCACCATTTTCCATACACGCATTATTTGGATTTAATATACCACAAGGACCATGCATCATGTGCTTGACAACAATATAGTGTAAATAAGGATACTTTGTGCTATCAAAAATTTCGGCACTTACAATTTCATCAACCCTTTTAGGAGAAAGAATTTTTGAGCCCGATTTAAATATAATTAGGAAGTGAGCGTGTGACAAACCTCTTTTTTTGGAATTCAATAACATATATATATGCAACCACTGGTCCAAACAAATTTTCCTTCAATAAATCTTTTTTCAACTCTTCTAATTTTGATTTAAAGATGCGAGAGACCAAATCAGGTCTATTCTGAACTTCATCACAAAATTTTAACTTTTGCTTAATTTCAAGCCAATTGGAATTGCATGTAATTGTTAAAAAGATGTTAGGCTTTCCAAATTTTGGACAAATGTCATCACTTCCATGTATCTTTTATTCAAATCTCTAGAACCACCAACGAAAGATGATGGCAAAATAGTCCTTCGATCAATATTTGAACCACTAGTTTCACCATTATGTACACTATCAACAATACCTTAGTAAACCTCACTTCGTATCTGTGTTTGATTATTACGAAAGTAATCTAATCCAGAAGATTCAACTTTAACATACATGTCAACTACATATTGTTGCAAAAGACTGCCAACATGTAGCAATTTTTATATCATGGTTTTCCAAATCAGTAACATTAGCTAAACCTCG